GGCCAGATGGCAAAAAGTTCCTCCTGTGTTAAAATGTCTGAATGTTATTCTCTAAGGGTTGTAGACATTTGGATTGGAAACTAACATAGCCAAACAAGCATTTCAAACAGACTTCTTTAGAAGCTGAGAAAGACAGATGTTTGGAAATCCAAAAAGGAAAGTGGGGAAGAAATCAGCTAGGAGGTCACTGCAATAATCTAGGCAAGAGATATTGAGAGCAGTGGTTGTGAGGAAAGAGAAAAAAGGATTAATTCTGAAAACGGTGCTTATAAGACACAATTGGCAAGACTTGGTAATTGATTAGATGAAGAAGGTAACAAGTTAAAAATTACTGTGTTGACAGGTTGGATGCCATAACTACCAACTAAAATGAAATAAAGGAAAAGGCTAGAAGGAAAGAAAATTAACTTGAGTTTAAGATATGTTGCTGTGACCAAAATATATGACAAGAACAATTTAGAGGAGGGAGAGTTTATTTGGTGCTCACAGTTTCAGAGGTCTCAGTCCATAGATGGCCAACTCCACTACTCTGGGCCAAAGGTGAGGCAGAACATCATGGAAAAAGAGCCCATAAGAGTAAAGCTTCTCAGTTTATGGCAGAGTCAGGAAGCAGAGAGAAACTGCAGGGAGAAAATGCACCCTTCCAGGGCATACCCAGTGACCCACCTCCTCTAGCCACACCCCACCTGCTTATGGTTACAACCCAGTCAGTCCATTCAAACTAGGATAGATGAGTAAGTTATAGCTCTCGATCATAATTTTATCTCTGAATATTTCTGCCTTAACAGGAGATCTTTTGGGGGAGGACACCTCACTTCCAATCATAACATTTTGTCTCAGCTCCCAAAAGTTCATGTCTATCTCACAATGCAAAATGCATTTAGTCCATCTCTGGTAGTTCCATAGTCTCCGTTTCAGCATTTCCCAAGTCTAAAGGAGTCTGAGACTCAAGGCAAACTCTTAGCTATGAGACCCTGTAAAACATTAAAAGCAAGTTACTTGTAGCCAAGATACAGTAGCACAGAATAAACATCCCCGTTCCAAAAGGGAGGTACATAGGGACATAGAAAAGAAGGGATGGAGCCAAAGCAAGATCTAAACCCAGCCTGGCAAATAATTTTTGGAGCTCCATCTCTGGAATCTGGGACACATGGTGGAAAGATGTGCTCTCCAGAGCTTGGGCAGCCCTGTCCCTTTGGACTTGCTGATTGCATTGCACACAAACTCTCTTTTAATCTTGTTCTTCCCACAGCCAGCCATTTTTATTAGCAGACAGTTCATGTTATTGGCATCTCTCAATTCCTGGGGGTCTTCATTCCAGGTTCAGTTTCATCTTCACAGCTTCAMATGTCACCCTCTCAGGACAAACCATAGGGACTATGACCCTGTACACTTCACATGGCCTTCCAGGTCTTCCTTTAAAATCTTCGTGGAAGCCTCCATTACCCCTAAACTCCAGCATTCTGCATTCCTATAGAATCAGTACCACTTGGTCTGCTGCTATCTTACACAACACTTGCCCCTCTGGAATCATGGCTACAGGAGCCTCTGAGTATTTGCATAGCTCAGCATGGTGAAACAGTTTCCTAGGCCTACCTGTGTGAGCAGGGAATCCCTATGATCTCTTCTCAAAGGAATGTTCTCTTCTATTCCCTGGACCCTATAAAAAGTGTGATCTTCTAAATTCCTGAGATGCCTTCAAGGCATCTGTCCTGGAGTCTCTATGTAAAGTACTCAGCATCTCTTTAGGGAGTAGAGCCTCTTCAACAAGCACACCTTCCTTGACCCCAGCTTTACATGTACTTTTCTGGCCAAACTGTGATGTTTTAAAATCCTTTAGCTCTGCTTTCTGCTCCCTATTTGACAGTAAACCTATCTGAAAGCTGCCAGCAATGTCCAACTGAATGCTGTGCTGCCTTAAAATTTCCTTGACCAGGTTAGTCTATTTCCTTTAAATTCATCCTCACATAAAGTCTCAGGATATGGGGAAAATGTAGCCAAGTTCTTTGCCAGATATCAYGTGTGCCATCTCTAATCTAACTCCCAATAAATCCTCATTTCCTTCTGACACCTCATGAGTACAGTCTGCACCCATCAGCATTCTGATCTTCTGAGATTCCACCAGAATTCCCCCATTAAGTTGTGCTTACCATGTGCTAAATCTTTTCTAGGTTGTTGTATGTCTAAACTTTTCAAAATTCCTCCCACAAACAACTCTAAAGGCTTCTGAACCACATAATCAGGTTAGTCACAGAAACGACCACACTTCTTGGTACCAGTTTCTGTTTTAGTCAGGTTTTGCGTCACTGTGACCAAAATATCCAACCAAAACGACTTAGGGGAGAAAAAAAAAGTTTATTTGGAGCTCACAGTTTCAGAGTTCTCAGACCATAGGTGGCTGACTCCATTGGTCTGGGCTCAAGGTGAGGCAGYAAACCATGGGGGCAGGACCCAGTGCAGGAAAGCTACTCAGTTCATGACAGGATCAAGAAATGGGAGCAGAGGGGACACACAGAAGGTGAACCCTTCCAGAGWTCACTGCCGGTGACCCACCTCCTCCATCCACTTCTCACCTGCCTACARTTAGCACCCTGTCAGTCTATTCAAACTAGGATGAACTRATTAAGTTACAGCTCTTATAATCTGAGTGTCTCACTTCTGAATGTTCCTGCATCAACACCGGAGCTCTGGGGGACACCTCACATCCAAACCATAACAATGTTGAATTTGAGCTGTCCACAGGTGTAGAGTTGGGGAATCCTACAAGGAATTGAAGGTAACACAGACAATACGTGATCAGCATATAGTGAGCATTGAACTGAGAGTGTTAAGGGCCAAACAGGAAAAAGAGAGAACCCTGAGAAACACCTATGTTGAAGTGAAAAGATGGATAAAAGAAGTTGGGCAAGGGGTTGGGGTTGTGGCTCAGAGGTAGAGTGCTCACCTTGCACATATGAGGCACTGGGTTYGACCCTCAGCACCACATAAAATAAATAAAATAAAGGTATTGTGTCCAACTACAGCTAAAAAAAAAAAAAAAGACTCTAAAAAAAAAGAAGGTGGACAAGATAGAGTATGGGATTTCAAAAATCATAGGGGTACCAAGTTTTAATTAGAAGAGAGTGATCAAAATCAGAAACACGGAACAGAYCTTAAGAAGTCATTTTTTCCACAAAGGATTTAAATGTGTCAAAAAAAAAATGCTTCAGTCACAATAGTGTGTTGGGGGAGGAGGGGACACCTAGCTCTAGGAAATCTACAGTTCTTCTTCATGAATCTATTTCAAGTGCCTGACCTAAAACCCCTTGTCCTTGCATTTGAGAAATTCTCTTTTTTTTCTTGTCTTCCAGGGAAACAGGATACAGCCCCTCAACGTTTCTCAGACAATCTTCTTTCATGTTTGATTTGGACCACTTCTGTTTTATTTTCTTTAGACCACTTAACCCAGTTCTTTCCATTTTTCTTCAGAATCCCCACAATTTAACTGCTTTTGTGAGACATCCCTGGAATTGTGCCAGGGATTTCTTTCTGCATTTTTCTTTTCCTGAGTAGGACCTGAAACCTGAAATCTACTGAGGGCCCGGTCACTRTGAAGTGTATTCTGTACACACAGCTCAGTAATGTGCTTGCTTTTCTATCAACGYAGTTTCCCAATAGCTCGTCGTTTTTATTTTTTTTTTTCTTTTAGGCTCACAGCTTGGCTTCATGCAGGCAGCCTGCCTTAAGTCCTATTGTAAAAATTATATAACCTTTCTGAAAGTGAAGGACTGGAAGAAATCGCAGGGTGCATCTCGTCTATTTTCTGTTAGTTAAGGATTTTTCCTGCTATATCCCTCAAATGTAGTTTGGCTCAAATAACTCAAGAAAATGCCCTTCCCCAATAGGAGTAGGGTTGTTTTTTCTGTATTTAACACATTGTAAAATCAATTCAATGAACATAAACAGCATTTTTAATATCATGGGGTGGGATGGATAGGATAGACCAGGATAGGAAAAGTCTGACTGGAGTTATCAGAGTCTATTAAATGCAGTCAAGGTAAATGTCATTCCATGACACTTCTGCTTCAGCTGGGGTGAGGAGAGGTCAGTGTGYATGTCTGTAAAGTCTGTCTCTTACTGTGAGTTACAATGTACAATTTCCTACATTGCCCTGCAGAATTACCCTTAACAACCCAAGAAAATTAATTTGCCTATTCTGYACTCCGTCGAGCTTAGTTTTTTCTTTAAATTTTCCAAGGCAGCCAGGCCAATGCATACCTGTAATCCCAGAAGGCTGAGACAGGAGGCTCAAGGCCAGCCTCAGCAATTTAATGAGAGCCTCAGTAACTAATAAGATCCCAAACAAACACACACACAAAAAAAAAAAAAAATAATTAAAAGGGGTGGGGGTGTGACTTAGTGGTAGACCACACTGGGGTTCAATCCCTAGTACCAAGGAAAAAGAAATTTCTTTCAAGGTGTTAGCATGAGTCCAGTTTAACTCTAATCCTTGTCCTTTTGTAGTTAATATGCTCGTTTAAGTTTAGTGTAACATTTAATCTAGTAACATTTACTTACATGACAAATGTAAAGTATTATTAAAGACTTCCTCCCTCTTCCTCTTCCTCTTCCTCCCTCTCCCCTCTCTTTTCTCCTTTTCCTCCTCTCTCAATATACCTCTCTCCTTCTCTCTCTCTCTCTCTCCCCCTCTCCCTCTCTTTCTCTTTCTCTTCCCCTCTCCTCCCACCATGCCACCACCCTCTGACGTGTCCCCCTCTTGCCTAACTGAAAATTCCTTGTTTACATTTTGATCAGCCTGGGTCAGAGGTGCCAAGGTGATGCTGCTCCAGTACTTTAGGAAACATGCCTTCTCGACATTTCTATTAAGCCCAGACTTGATTCTCTCTTGTGAGTCACAAAGCATGGATTCTATGTTGCCAAAAGGCATACCTCCCCCTGCTCTGGAGTCTTCTTTCCAAATTGAACTCATTGTAGCTTTTCTGCTACCATTGCTTTGTTAGCTCTTTACCTTTGGATGGAGAGAAGATATTCGACCTGGTGAGCCACTGCATACCCGAAAATTCTGCTTTGATGCAATCTCATACAACAGCCCAGTCACTCTCTATGACTGTCATGGCATGAAGGGGAACCAGCTCTGGGGATATCGGAAGGTAAGAGTTCTGTTCCTTGTGGTCATTCTCAAGTTGCCATGGCTTCAGGTTTTTTTTTTTTTTTTTAACTCAAAACATTCTTGAAAAAGATGCTGTCTTGATTTCAGGATGTTAMCGGGACAGATATATACACACTTGGCTCACTCATTTGGAGAAAATCAGCAAAAGGAAGGATACAGTGTGTAGAAAGCGGCATTGCTTCTGTATTTGCTTGTTATGGGCATATCCATCCTGAGGAGTTGTGATTGAAAATGAATTTGAGTTAAAACACAACACTACAAGGAATGGGTCCAGGCTTAGTTCAACTGACTTGCAAAAGGAGGAAACTTAGGGGCTGGGGATGTGGCTCAAACGGTAGCGCGCTCGCCTGGCATGCGTGCGGCCCGGGTTTGATCCTCAGCACCACATGCAGACAAAGATGCTGTGTCTGCTAAATACTGAAAAATAAATATTAAAAATTTCTCTCTCTCACTCACTCTTTCTTTAAAAAAAAAAGGAGGAAACTTATACTCAATAAACAAATATACACATGCATAATTTTTAAGAACCCCAATTCTCAGTACACACACACACAAACACAAACACACAAACTAAAAATCTATTATTTGTGGGCACTGGTTATGACACTTGTTTCCTCACTGAATAAGAGTTCTGGTTTCCACCACTAGGAGAAAGACATCTGAGACCACACTCACTCAAAGGGAGACCTGTCCTTGGTGTAGTTAATTCTGCATACTGTCACTTCCCAATACCCAGCAGATTTAGGTATACATCTAAAAAAAAGGACAAAACATCAATTATTCTGTCTTACAAAACACTATAAAATCCAAAGAGCTAATAAGAAGGTAGAGTCCAATATAATGAAGGAGGCAAATCATTGCAATAAAAAACCTCTCTGTTTTCTTTAAGAAACATATCATTGATTAATTTTGTTAAATGCCTTTGCTGTTCCATATGCTATAGTGTTTGTAGTGGAATAAAGAAGGTTTTTTTTTTTTTTTTTGGATGGTTATTTTTTGACCTTTAAGATTCTGCTTTCTGGGGAAAAAAATAATTCTATTTTCTGTACACATCAATAAAATCTCCAATATGTCATTGCCTGGTATGCTGGTGGTCTCTAATGAACAGAACACTCCTCATTACTGTATATTTATAGCATAAGGGACAGGCCACTCAATAATATGCAATTAAGCCAAGAAAATACCGTTGTTTTCATTAGGGAGCTTACAAAAGCTTACAGATGGGTAAGACCAACTAATTCGTGTGCACATAGATCTCCTGGGGAAAAAAAAAAGGCTGTGGTGATTTCAAGTGGTAATTCTTATGAGATTTAACACTTAAAACCTTACCAGGATCCAAAGGCTTTTGAGAAAGAAATCACTGGATACAATTGTGTGCGGCTCTCTTCTCAGGTCTCAAGCTGCTGGCCTTGGGTTACTTAGCAAAAGTGACGCTCCGTGTGTATTTATACAGCAAGCTAGGTATTTATACTTAATAAAGAGCATGCCAAAGGCTTAAAATGGAAAGTTTCTGAAATATCTCATCTCGATTGATGACTCAGGCCTATTCGACATACCTGTTTTAGAAAATTCCTCTTATTCCAAGGGCTACGCTCAAGACCTAAGAGAGAAAACAGAGACAGAAATCTCTCTGGAGTGCTATTTTGTCTATTTAGATGTACTACTTGGCTGGAGGAGAGAGTGGTTCCAACAGTTTGGCAATCTTTTGAGTTTGCTTTGGAAAACACCCTTTTTATTAACATATTCATGAATCATCCCATATACCTAAGACTCTCTACTTTACCTAAGGGGCAGCAGAGGGTAGTAACTATTCCACCTCCAACCATCAAGGAGGAGGCATTGAGCTAGTGCTTTAYACACATCACTTCAAACCTTGTACCCACGAGGTACTATTGTGTATAATTGACACAGGAAGAAACTGATACTGGCAGATTTGTGGCAAAGCCTACAAACTCAGATAGAACTGGCTTTAAGCTCTCTATGCTTTGYTCTGCCATTTCTTAATAAATAAGATCAACACTCCCTGGGAAAGTCTCTGAATATTTGTTGCATTAAGTACCACTGATACCAGCCAACCTCTCTCAGTGACGTGGACATTCTGGGGAAATCATGGTAACAGAAGCTGCCTTGTTTGAATGGATAAAGGTTGTTGTTAGGCCCCAATTCCTGGTCCATTAGCAACAATTGGCTTTTGGTTATTTTTAGCTGTGGCTCTTTGCCATCACAAAAGAAGAAGAGCATCCTTACCTTATGATATTATTTCTATGTTCATTTACATAACTTTATCCCATAGTAGGTACTCAGGAAGGGGAATCCCAATCTTGGTTCTCTTTCACCACCAGGGGGACCCCTGTTCCAAGAACAGTGGATTGTCAAAGCAACCTCAAATCAAAAATCAAATCTTCTCAACATCTGAATCAAGAAATTGCCTTTCCTCTTCTTCAATACCCACAACTGTGTGGTTACCACGAACTGTCTCTCCCTTCCCCAGGCCATTATTCCTAGAATCCACCYTCTCTGCCATTTCTATAACCCCCATCCTGGTTTCAGCCCTTTCCATTTTTGCCCCTGGGTTATTGCATTTATAGCCTAAAGGATATTCCTGCTGGTTGKCCTTCCCTGGCCTTCCCCCTCCAACCTATCCTCTGATCCTAAAAGTCAGAGACAGTTTCTACAACATCTGGTCATTGCATTCCTCTGTTTYATAACTGCATTTGATGTCTCAATGAGTCCATGATAAAGCGCCTTCACCTTCCAATTCTCATCCTGCCGGTTCGCAATCTGGTCAATGTAATGGTCAAGCCTTGGAGTTAGTCAGACTTAACACACCCTACATCATTATGAAAATTATAATGGGTTTTATTTTTCAGGTACAGGGRATTGAACCCAAGAGCACTTTACCACTGAGCTACATCCYCAGTCTTTTTGTTCATTTATTTGATCTTGAGACAGAGTCTTGCTCAATTKYCMAGGCCTCTTGCCTCAGCCTCTCTAGTAGCTGGGATTATAGGTGTGCACCACTATACCTGGCTATAATGTGATCTTGAACAAGTTATTTCTCACTGACTTTCACCTTCCTCATCAATATAAGGGGACTAATAATTGAGATAAATGATGAGAAACTTCTAGCAGAGCTTCTGATTACATGATCAGATTTCCATCTATGTGGGTAAAAAATGCAGCTTTGACATTGATAATAGTGGTGAAGTATATCCTGATATCCTGCAACACCGAAGCCATCTCTCCTAAGTAATATTAACTGTTGTTTTCCATCCAAATAAAGAATCTCCCATACCTTTTTCTTTTTAAGTAAACTTTTTTTTAATTCCAGTACTCATTTTTCATTTGTTCTAATTAGTTGAATTGACAGTAGAATGCATTTTGATACATCATACATAAATGGAGTATAATTTCTCACTCATTTTGTTGTACATGATGTAGCGTTTACACAGGTCATGTAATCATACATGCACATAGGGCAATAATGTCCGCTTCATTCTACTATCATTCCTACCCTCAGGCCCCCTACCCTTTTTTCACTCCCCTCTGTCTAGTCCAAAATACCTCTATTCATCTTGCTACATATGGATTTCCAGTTTTCCCAGCACATTTTGTTGGAAAGACTATCTTTTCTCTGTGTATGTTTTTGGCACCTTTGTCTAGTATAACATAACTGTGTTTATGTGGATTTGTCTCTGTGTCCTATATTCTATACCATTGGTCTATAGATTTGTTTGAGTGCCAATGCCATCAAATTTTTGTTACTATGTCTCTGTAGTATAACTTAAGGTCTGGTATTGTGATGCCTCCTGTTTGTTATTTCTTGTTAAGGATTACTTTAGCTATTCTGGGTCTCTTATTTTTCCAAATGAATTTCATGATTGMTTTTTCTAGTTCTATGAAGAATGTCATTGGGATTTTAATAGGAATTTCATTAAATCTGTATAATGCTTTTATTAATATGGCCATTTTGACAATGTTAATTCTTCCTATCCAAGAGCATGGTATATTTTTCTATCTTCTAAGATCTTCAATTTCTTTATTTAGTGTTCTATAGTTTTCATTATAGTCTTTCACTTCTTTTGTTAGATTGATTTCCAGATTTTTTTTAAGGCTATTGTGAACTGGGTAGTTATCTTTCAGTGGATTCATCACTGATGTATAAGACCACATTTGATTTATGGGTGTTAATTTTATATCCTGCTTAAGTAAACATTTTTAGTGGACTATAGCCTTATTCTCAATTTGGGTTTTCCCAGATATACAACCTAAACTAGGAATTTGAGTGCAGTAGATTATTGGCGAGATAACCTCCGGTAGGGAGGGGAGATTTCATAGGGCCTAAGGAAATGAAATGGGGAGGGGKTTGGGAGCCAGGGAAAGAATATTATCAAACAAGTGCCACAGCAAATAACTAGTGCTAAATTTTACTGAAGATCTCTAGGAATAGTATAGACAGATATCAGAAAGCAAGGGAGTTGGGTTGGTCATACATCACTCCAGTCAGAGAGCTTATCCTGACACCTCGAGCCTGCAGCAGTTACAGTTAGAACTGCACCTGAGGCTGAGAAAATCCTTAGGCAGAAGGATGCACTGGCCAAGGGCAGGAAGTTGGACCAGCAGACACTCAAATCCTAAAGTGGTGCTGAGCAGTGGGCAGGGGCTAGATACTTCCTGAAAGTCCAGTTGCTCCACATCCTCATCAACACTTGGCATTGTCAGGATTTTTTGTTTTGTTATTGTTGTTTTATTCTGTGATTGTTAAGTGATATGATGTTTGTTAGCCATCTGGGATATCTTCTTTGTGGAAAATTTCTTTAAGTTTTTGACCATTTTTTTTTTTAACATGGGTTGTTTAGGGTTTTTTTTTTCCTTAGAGAGTTTTAGGGATTTTTCATGAACCTAGAATTGAGAGCTTTGTTGGATATCTGGGTATTCCAGTCACTATCCTGCCTTTTTTCTCCAGTGGAGTGTTAATGA